TATCTGTGATATCACTTCGGTGGAAGCGGACGTTCAATAAAGCTATTTCACACACTTTCCCTGCAACCTTTGCCTATCTGGGATATCACTTCGGTGGAAGCGGACGTTTAATAAAGCTATTTCACACACTTTCCCTGCAACCTTTGCTTATCTGTGATATCACTTCGGTGGAAGCGGACGTTCAATAAAGCTATTTCACACACTTTCCCTGCAACCTTTGCCTATCTGGGATATCACTTCGGTGGAAGCGGACGTTCAATAAAGCTATTTCACACACATGCAACCTTTGCTTATCTGGGATATCACTTCGGTGGAAGCGGACGTTCAATAAAGCTATTTCACACACATGCAACCTTTGCTTATCTGGGATATCACTTCGGTGGAAGCGGACGTTCAATAAAGCTATTTCACACACTTTCACTGCAACCTTTGCTTATCTGTGATATCACTTCGGTGGAAGCGGACGTTCAATAAAGCTATTTCACACACTTTCACTGCAACCTTTGCCTATCTGGGATATCACTTCGGTGGAAGCGGACGTTCAATAAAGCTATTTCACACACTTTCACTGCAACCTTTGCTTATCTGGGATATCACTTCGGTGGAAGCGGACGTTAAATAAAACTATTTCACACACATGTAACCTTTGTTTATCTGGGATATCACTTCAGTGGAAGCGGACGTTAGAAGATAAAGAACGCAAGCTTTGGGTGTTACAAACAACGAAAACCTGTGTACACGTTGACGTACACGTAACAGAATCCATGACAGTCGGAATTTGACAAAGAATAGTTCGGATGGGACGAAAAACCGAGATCCCATGTACACATTTGCGTGCAAGTAAAAGAACCCTTGGAATTCGATATAAGAGTAGGTCGTAGCGCGTCGCTATCCGGGAAAAATTTCCCTCATAGTTCATAGCACACTGTCTGGCGTAAGCCCACATCATTAACCTGATTTCTGCAGACAAGTATGATGTTAAAACCTATTTCATTTTATTTACACTCGATCATCATGCAAGCAGGTGAAGTTTTATTTACACTCGATCATCATGCAAGCAGGTGGAGTTTTATTTACACTCGATCATCATGCAAGCAGGTGGAGTTTTATTTACACTCGATCATCATGTATGCTGGTGGAGTTTATTACTGTGGACATGAAAACTTGTCATTTAAAACATGGCTCGTTACCTGAAGTAGAATTTGTTTTGTTTCAAATTTTCAATAAATATAAAACATGTGTCTCGTAAACTCATTCTCACTCACCAATCAATGCGCATGACAATGTTCAATGTTATTGGTAATAGTGACGTCTGTTTTACCAACCATGTTTTTACGAAGTACATTTACATGATATAATGGACAGGTTGATTTAATTAAATTATTTACATGTCAAGACGTTGTATAAAAATGGGGTAAAATATAAAAAAAACCAAGTTCTTGAATATCAAAATGTCACTTTGAAACATGGTGTTCAAATTCGCACGTGGGAAGAGAGGACGGACCATCTTCTCACGTTGTACAATAACAAAATTCCGCGGCACACTTAGGAGAATCTGGTTGAGAACCACTGCTTTATACGAATATGTACCATAACAAGTCATTCAGTGTGTAACTAGCTGTAAAACATGGCGTTACCGAAACGTGATTAATTATAATGTCATCATATTTTAAATGAAATGGGGTTTAATGTCCTACTAATCCACAACCGACTGGTAACCGAGAAACCTGTAGGACTTAGTTTAATTCCGGTTGAATCCAAACCGGCAGATTATCTAACATTGGTATTTTGATTCCCCGGCTGTACGTGACAAGTAGTCGGGTTGCCTGTCCAACCTCGTGGGTTTTCTCCGAGTCCTCCGGTTTGCCTCCCGCTGCTAAAGGCCCCTACGCGCAAGCGAATTATTGAAATAAAATTGAACCATATGGTAGTCCCGAAATGACCTAGTTTGTGTCGAGTGGACGTTAAACCCATTTCTCTCTGCCTCTCCCTCTCTCTCTCTCTCTCTCTCTGACAAGACATGTGGCGTAGATTAAGCCGAAAGAGATTTAGAAACCCTTGGTTCGTTCGTTCGTTAGGTTTTTAGTTTTCTAATAAGGAGCCACGGTGGCTAGGTGGGTAAGGCACTGGCTCGCTAGCCTGGAGGTCGGGCGTTCGATCCCTGCATTGGCCGAGAAAGTTCATCCCGATTTTCCGACGTGGTTCCCCTTGTCAGTGATGCAGGACGGAGGGCCTGACAAGGACAGCTGTCTAGTCCTTCGGATGAGACAAAAAACCGAGGTCCCGTGTAAACACTGGAATGCACGTAAAAGATCCCTTGGCAGTTGGAATTCGATATAAGAGTAGGCGATAGTGCCGCTGCCCGGGCAAAATTTCCCTCATAGCACACTGTATGGCGTATGCCCGTCTTCATTAGCCCAGTATAGGAGCAGAACAGTAGGACGTTAAACCCCATTTCATTTCAATTCATTTCTAATAAAATCGTCGAGTTAGGACTTAAAATGTCTCCTATCTAGCTTAGTGTCTGTTTTCAAGTGGAGGTAGCTGTAAACAGGCAGCGTAAGTGTAGTATGTGTACAAATACAAGTAGTTCGCTCCTTCTTGTTCAAATAACGATGTTTACTTTGGCATGATACAAAAATATTTTTGAAGGAGATGCTCAAATCAAAAATCCATTTGCGCTTTTCATCCATATAATGTAATGAAACAAGTTTTTGCTACATTTGCAATGGTTGTTATGGTAACGGCAGACATAAGTGATCCACTATTGGCTCAGTAAACAGACGAGTTACAATAAAAACATTCTGAAAAATGGCGGGATCAGCAACTAGTTCTTCTGATCAGGTATAGTCTCATTGAAAGATTGATTCCGTCGAGTTTATCCAGGTAATCTAATCGATCGACAAAAGGCGAATTAATGTAAGCCTTTGGCTTGTTTTTGAATCCTTACCTGTGACAATGTAGGTGTCGTTAGATATCAATCATATTTGAATACATAATGGGTTTAACGTCCACGTGCGGTTGTTTTAGCTGTTCGTGGAAACCGGAGGACACTGGGAAAACCCACGAGGTTGGACATGCGATCCTACGCCTTGTCACGTACAAGCCACTTGACTCAATGTGAAGGAAACCGGAGATCCCGAAGAAAACCCACGAGGTTGGACATGCGATCCTTCTCCTTGTGACAAGTGTGGGCTGAAAACCACGCCACTTGACTCAATGATCTAAAACCCCACACATTAGACGATTCCACCACCCAACCTCTCTCCCCACGTCCCAAAATGTGCACACAAAATACATTATCCAATTCATCGTCCCCTAAAAACAAATGAAATGAAATGAAATGGGCTTAACGTGCTACTCTTCTGCCCCGAGTGGGCTAATGAAGACGGGGATATGCCGTACAGTGTGCTGTGAGGGGTATTTTGCCCAGACAGTGGTGCTACGGCCTACTCATATCGAATTGCAAGTGCCAGGGGATTTTATTACGTGCACGCCAATGTGCACACGGGACCTCGGTTGTTCGTCCCATCCGAACGACTAGGCGTAAATAGGTTTGGGGTTAGCGCTAGCAATGCTTACATCTCTTGACCTCGACGAAATCTGCAGGTAGCCTTACTATTTAGTAAGGATTATAGCGATCTTAACTGCAGTGTCGAATTAGGTTGAAGCGGACGTTAATCCCGACAAGAAGGCGACGATATCCAGTCTTAAAAATACAGATGTGACGTCATCCTTTGATGTTGGCGTACCATTATTTCCAATATTGTACGGGCAACTTGCCAATCGTACATTATCTATACTAGATGAAATATTGGACTCGCGTGACGTATTTCATTGAAAAGCACGTGCAGGATAGTGTCTGTATTTTAAGTTGTTTAATGGTCTCGAGCTAAAGACATTGCGTAATATATTGAAACAACACTCGGCTAACGCCTCGTGCAGTGTCCAATATAGTACTTAATGTCTTGTTCTGGACCATTAAACCAGACATAATACCATTGTTACCTATAGTCGAGCTGAAATCTATTTTAATCGATGAATAAATTCTTCTTCAACTGTCTACTAGTTGATATGGTTTGAGAACTAACAATATGAATGACGTAGCAATACAATCTATAAATCTATTTATAACTTGATGAATTATGTTAATTTGGCATATAGAAGAAAACATTCAGTCAATCATATGACATATAATATTGCTAATAACTAAAGGTGACGTCAGAAGCTCGGTCTGTGACGCTACAAACCATAGAGCACGAGAAGCCGTATCCAGGAAACAGGTTGTCATTTAATCTGGCTAATATTGCTAAGCCCATTGTCTGGTGTATAGCTGTTCAACAAATCTGTTTTTTCTCACTCGGTGCTTTGTTTGTAATTGTTGTTGATCCGTGTGTTTATGTTAGTTAAGACACTGAAATGGGAAAAATTTCAGACCATTCTGTAAATAATTTTGGAATTATACACCGTGTTTTTCAAGGCGAACAAAGGTTCACGGTGCTGTGGATTTAACAGGTTTGTGAAATTTGAAGAAAGGCAGACCCAGGGCGCCATCTGACATCTAACTCGTGCCTCGCTCATACTTGGTTTAGGTAAAAGCTTCGTGAGACGGCGACGGGTCTTTTCGCTACTTTTAGTTTTATGTGAGTAGGGCCACGAGTCTTTCCGATTAGACTTCGTTTGTCTTTTCGCTACTTTTAGTTTTATGCGAGAAGGGTCACGGGATTTCCGATTAGACTTCGTTTGCGTTAGCTTCGTGAGACGGCGTCGAGTCTTTTCGCTACTTTTAGTTTTATGTGAGTAGGGTCACGAGTCTTTCCGATTAGACTTCGTTTAAGTTAGCTTCGTGAGATGGCGACGGGTCTTTTCGCTACTTTTAGTTTTATGCGAGAAGGGTCACGGATCTTTCCGATTAGGCATTGTTTACGTTAGCTTAGAGAAGTGTTTTCTAACAATTTGAATTGGCAATGGCTATTTTTATATATTTATTTTTATTACAGGATGGTGTTTCTGATATGATAAAATGGGTTGTGATTCTAGCAAGCAGTCTTTACCTACATACCCCCCCTGAACAGCAGGAGGATGGTGGACCTGGATTCACTGAAACACAGATAGATACCATTCGAAGCACGTGGCCGTTGCTATCACGTGACATGCTACGTGTAGGAACGGAAGTGTTTATAAGAATATTTACGGAACTTCCATCCATAAA